CACTATCAACCACTTGAGTTGTCCTTCAGCCGCAGTAAAAGGTCCTAGTAGGTCCATTCCCCATTTGAAGAACGGCCATGGTGTCGTGATAGTTTGCAGCTCTTCTGGGGCTGCGCGAAGGATCAGCGCATGCTTCTGACATTGTTTGCATCTTTTGACATTCTCCTTCGCATCCGCCTCCATAGTTGGCCAGTAGTATCCTGCCCTTAGTGCCTTTCTGGCCAAGGCTTTTCCTCCCATGTGATGCCCATTTATGCACTCATGAATCTCGGCCAGCACGTACTCGACCTCGTTCTTGCCTAGGCACTTCAGCATAGGTGTGTAGAAACCCTTCTTGTAGAGTTTCCCCTCTACTATGGTGAAACACGTCGAGTTTCTTACGAGTTTTCTTGCCTCTTGTGTTTCGTCTGGTAGGATTCCTTTTTCAAGGTAGGCCACTATTGGCCTTCTCCAATCCTCAGTCTCGGTTATAACCATGACGCACGTCGGCTCCAGGATGCTCTGTTGTATCACATTGCGATGATTTCCTGAGCCCTTTGAGCTGGCGAGTTTGGATAGGACGTCGGCCCTATTATTTTCGTTCCGAGGTATTGGAGGGACAAAATTTAAAATACAAAATTTAAATTACAAAATTTGAAATTCAAATTACATCTCTTTTAAAAGAGCCCAAAATTACACATTAATTTAAAATTTCAAATTTCAAATTTCGGGCACCATGACCATCCCCTTCCTCATTTGCACCTGAAATGTTAGACAACTCACAAGTACAAAAATATTATCATATAATATATTTTTCACGTATGTCTTGATATTTAACAATTAAATATTAAAACATAATTAAAATTCAAAACTTTTTCTTAATTCTTCAATTGGCCGAATTATATAACAATTTATTATAATTCAAATTTTGTTGACTCTTTCTCAAAGAACACAAAATTAAACCAATCATGTAGCCATTAACATGTTAATGGCCGAACCATATACCTTGTGTATATGATATAAATTTTCGAAAAATTTAATCTTATGCACATGAAACAATTTCATGGAGAAAAATAAGAAAACAATCAAGGTGTTCAAAACACCTTTCATGGTCGAACTCCACCCTTCAAAAAGGTGTTTCCTTTTTAAAACATTCACAAAGTAAAAACAACCATGTATACATATGGATTCATGAACATAGCATTCGAAATAACATGTTCATAAAAACAAAAACTTTAACCGTTTAAAGTATTGTAAATTAAAATCCATACGTAAAAATTGAATCTTTAACTTTTAAAGAAATTTTAACCGTGAAAAATATGATCACAAACAAGGTACCATCACCCGTCTATGGTAAAGCAACCGGGCTCTGATACCACTTGAAAGTTGGAAATGGCCTTGAAGGCCGATGCATGCTGGAGGGATAAACAAAACTTTTTCATTGCAGAACACACATGCATTCAAGATCATGCTTTAGGAAAGCATGATGTTACCTTGTTCGTGAAAACTTGTGATGATCAAGGTAGGTCTGAAGGGTTCAGACCCTCTAACGTTGATCCACACCACCCACTGCGTCTAGGTGCAAGAACTCCTTCTTGTGAAACCGCCAAGTGATCACTACAATGAGGCTTGCTAAGCGCACACTGTGTGAAGAGAAAGGCTAGGTAAAAGTGTTTGAAAGAGTGAAGCTTTCAATGTGAAAACTTCACAAAAGTGGCGCAGGAGAGGAGAAGAGAATGGCTTGGTTGGTTTTCTAAAAACCCTAGAAGGAATGGTACCTTATAGGTCCTCCCACGACTTTAGCTAAGACATCTCCATATCTGTAGCACATGAGGTCTATACCTTGTATCCATATACAAGTAGATAAGTCGTGCTAGTCTTACCCGAGATTATTGACCCCATTCTCAGTATCTCTAGACTAGGAACATAAAATTAGGAATAAACATCCGGTATTCTTGAATCCTCATGATTGTGATCTCATCACAGATACTCAAGAGATACCTATTTTATTCCACGGGGTTTATCAAGTTATTCATAATATATTAACATTAATATCGAGACAGAATTATGAAACAAGATAAAGAGTGCTTTTATTTATTTGCGACAATATTAAAAAGGTCTACATCTATGTCCTTATTTAATCATAAGATTGTCTCTAGGACACCCAAATACTAACAGACATAATACCGATCGGTTACATTGTATCCTGCTTGGAACACTACACACTACGGGTATCCGGCCTAAGCTGTCATATATCTTGGCACCCTGCCCCGCAAGCTACCAAACTGGGGGGCTTCTGTTCTAGATACTACTCACCTTAAGCCCACCAGTTGGGTCCAATATCCTAAGCCCATTGTCTAGAACATTCTAGAGGACACTCATGGCAAGTCATAAAAGCTCACCACTAGGACATTTCCCTATCCCTGCACTGCTGCCCCTGTACACTGACAGTGGGCAACATGTCTTGTCTAAGGAGAAGACATGGCTTGGAGACAGCTCATGGGCTGACCAACGGTCTCCCCCATGAAAAGAGTACTCTCCTCTCTAAATACCCCCATCACACATGGAGGGGGGATCCTCTTCCCCACTCTTTACTATGTTGTTACTCTGCCCACTTGGTAGAGCCATCCTTGCCATACACACACCCCCTTTATGCACCATGGGAAACTTTACTAGTGCCATGGTCTTTACCATTGCCACTATAGACACCCCATATATCAACATACTTCACCCTCCATGAGATACATCTTATGTACACCTACAGTATAGCAATGAAAATACCCAACCACTTGAAAACCTTAATATGCTTCCAGTTCCCCCAACAGATTTCTCCAAATCCAAACCTCCAAATTTGATGTGAAGAAGTCCTCAGGAGGATCATTCACAAAAAAATTTATATGACGTTAAATTTTAAAATGAATGGATTTATTCCCTTGCATTGTTCTTGCAAATTTGTAATACCAATTATTAAGTCACATCAAATTATTATGGAAAAAGTGTTTGTCCTTTTAAATGGCACAACTTATATCCTTTCACTCTCATAAAGAGGTGGGACCCATACCTTTATATTTTTTTGTCCACTCTCTCCTCTTTTATCTATCTCTTTCTCTCACTTAAAATGATACAAATTTACATCCTTGCAAACTTTTTCCAATTATTATTTATAATAATATTATTATTACATTTATTATTTATTTTTATATAAGTTCGATTTAATCAATAATGTATATTTGAACCAATAATTCATTGACTCTGCTATCTTGACCAAATTAATAATCGGCATGTCATGCAAAACACAATATCCTCTAATAACTATTTTATGAACTTTCGTTAAGTATGGCTGTACGGGCTTCCTATCTGAGTTTCTGGCTCATATAAACTGGTTAGCATTACCACTGTTATAAATTGATTACTCGAACCCGAGATTGTTTAAAAAAATTTACTAGAAATAATTGCTAGGAGAGCGCCTGACGATGAAGTTCATCTTTGTACAACGAATATATATAGGTATATCTTTACTAAAATAAAAAAAATAAAGATATGAAATAAAAAAACTATAAAAATAAAGAAAATGTAAATGTATTATTTTTTATATTTGATAAAAGATATACGAGTAATCGGTACATCCATAATACTAAAAGTATTTTCCTGACTACGGGTGTTAAGAAGTGAGAATTATCTGAAAATATTATAAAAGAAATGCTGGGTATAAAAAATTAACAAAAGATCATGTACTTCTCAAAATAATTACTTGACTGTTTGATAACTTTTGTCAAGGACTTTATTATTTTAGTCTTTAGATGGTTTGTATTATATATGAATCTTATTATTATTATATAGGTATTTAATAATAAAGAATTAAGGTACATCACAATCAAGTGATAAGATTCAACTCATTGTTATATTTAAGGAATTATGATAAAAGGCAAAAAGAAAGACAATTTAAGAAATTAACATTTATGTAAAATATGAAAAGCATGAGCATATATGCATTAATCATTTTTTTCTCATATATCATTATTATTATTTTATGTATGTCATTATTCTTTATTGATTAGCATATATATATGACAAGAGTGATAATATTTTTTTTTTGTATATAGGAGTGATAATTTTTAATTAGATTAATTAGACACTCTAATATGACTGGAATATGATATGTGATTTTTGTATTAGAATCTACAAAAAAATGACATGGAAAAAATTGCATAGTGTCTTGTATCTACCGCTTCTCCGAATCGAATTATAATTTATCCGCTTAAATTAAATATTTATATAATTACATTTTAATCCATTTTTATTTATTAATTTGAGGTTATTTATATGATTTTCATTCTAAACCTATAGCTATGTAGGAATTATCTGAAAATATTATAAAAGAAAAGTCGGGTGCAAAATTAACAAAAGATCATGTACTTCTCAAAATAATTACTTGACTGTTTGATAACTTTTGTCAAGGGCTTTGTTATTTTAGTCTTTAGATGGTTTGTATTATATATGAATCTTATCTTATATTCTAAGACAAACTCATTCTTTGGCAAGTCCGCTGACGTGTCGCTTCCTCCTTCACTTTCAGCTTTGCGTTTACAGTTACACTACAAAATTTTAAAAACTTTCCTTCTTTGGTAAATCAGTGAATAAAAAAAATATAAAAGAAAATCTAATTTTCAATGAAAATCGAAGGACAAGATTTCATAACTCAAATCAATAGTCAAGATTTGTTATAAATTGTAGGTGGCAGACAACTCATTTAAATTTGAATTTTGTAGTTGAAAATTTAAATTTAAAATTTGAAATCTGAATGGTGGCAGACAACTCATTTAACGTTGAGCTACTTTCTCCATTGGAATTGTTAAAAAATTTAAAAATTGCATATGCTTATATGTATTCTATGCGAATGTTTGGGGCGATTTTCTTCTTTTGTTCATTTTTTCTTTTTTTCCTCTGTCGCATGTCAGCTGTTCAAACATACAGCCTCAACGAAATAGCTTCTTCGTCCTCTCTTTTTTCGTCTTACCAATATGTTTTCAAAATATGATTTTCTGAAGGATGTCAATCCTGCCAAGGAGGACTGGAGGATTAAGGTGAAGGTGGTTCGGGCTTGGAAAGTTCCGAACTTTCAATGTAGAGATTTTGACGACAATGTTGAAATGGTTTTATTGGATGAACAGGTAGTTGTCTGCATTTTTTAAATCTTCCATCTTTGTTCTGATCATTTTAATTAACGTTATTCATGGGGGTTGGCTACGTTCTTTTGTAGGGTGGTAGGATCCACGCCACTGTCAAAGGTTCTTTGCCAGTGCGGAAGAAAATCCATGAAGGAGAGTGATATTTTATAAAAAAATTTGGAGTTTGATTCAATAGCGATGTGTTCAGGCCAACCAAGCATCAGTATCGTTTGTCCTTCAACTTGAGGACTGATGATAAATCGATTGTTGATTGTGATCTTTCTTGGAGTCAATTTGATTTTGTTGATTATAACATCATTGAGAAAGAATCATCTGACTCTCCTTATTTAGTGGGTAATATATTTTTCCTAACTGTTTTCATTTTTTAACTATTTTTCATTTTTTAATTTTTGCATTTTTTTTACGAACTCTTTGCTGCCCTCTTTTTTTTGTAGACGTCATTGGTTTAATTTCAGGAATTGGGGAAGTTTGCGAACGTGTAGTTTCTGGTAGGAAAACGAAAATGGTTGTGTTGGAGCTTGACAACTTGAGGTATTTGAAATGTTAGAGTTAGATAGAAAAACAAAAAAAATGAACGCTCTGTTAGCTTATATGTTTCGTGTGTAACGTTGTTCTTGCTGCAACTCATATGTAGGGGTCACAAGCTGGAATGCACTTTTTGGGAGCATTATGTGGATGAGGTGCAATCTTTTTTGGCAAACAACGACACTCCCCATAACGTCTTAATAGTTCAGCTGGGAAGGATCAAATGTTTTAGGGGTATTTTTTTTCTGATTTTATTGGTTATACTCATAACGTCGTAATCGTTTTTGTTTTCATTATGACATCTGTATTATGATTTTATTCGATTTTTTCTATTTAATAGGTAAGGTCGGTTTAACCAATACAAAATACACAACAAAGATTGTCATTGATTCAAAGGTGCCAGAGATTATTGAGTTCAAAAAACGGTGTGATATTTCTTCTCGAACATAATTTATTCTGATAGTGTTTATTTGGTTATTCACTTATAGTGTTAACAATTTTTGCTTTATAGTCTTTCAACTGATGGTGTGGAAAGTAGTATGAGGTTGACTCAGTCCTCATATTCGTTCGAAAATGATTTTCTTAAGGAGACTGAAAAGAAGTCTATCAGTGATGTTAAGCTTTGTGGTGAGGTAAATATTTTAAGTCTGTTAATCTCTTTTCTTGAATTATATCAACTCTGTATTGTTGTGTTTCATTTTTTAGTGCGATGACTGTATTTAAGGTTATGACGTGCATCACGTATGGGACTATACAATCTATTGAGAGCAAATACAACTGGTGGTACAAGTCTTGCAAGAAATGTCCATTTTCTGTTTGTGAGGATTTTGAAAAGTGGTACTGTAAGAATTGCCAAAAATATTGGGATGATTATTATCCAAGGTAACATGTTGTTCTTGATCTATAATTTTTCTTTAATCCATCACGTTGATATTTGTTGCTGATATACAATTTCGCAATACTATAGATTTAGTGTTCAGGTTAAAGTTGTGGATAACACTGATTCTGCATCATTTCTTCTGTTTGATCAAGACTGTGTTACATTGTTGGGAATATCTGCTGGTGAATCGCGCGAGCGACATTTTAAGAGGGTGTGTATTATCAATCCTGTTAAATGCTTAACATATTTTTTTTTTGTCGTTTATTGATCACTGTTAGCGCTGGAATTTGATAACGTTTTGTATCCTTTTTATTTCTTTTGTTTTACTTTTTCGTTTTTTATTTTTTTATAGGGTGCGGATTTGGATCAATTTCCAGAAGAACTAAATGTTTTGAATGAGAAGTCAATGTTGTTTAAGATAAATGTGAAGCAGAAAGATCTGAACTCAATGTTCATTAAGTCTCTGATTGATCCAAATGTAGGCTGCATATTTTTTTTTGTTGGATGTCCAACTTTCTTAATCTTTTTTACTTGGCTGCTGTTTGTTGTTGTATGTCACAGGAGGAAACAAATTTTGATACTGCTCGTGAAAACAAAATTGTATCGTCGGAACCTGAAAAGGCTGCGGTAGCCCATTATTTGAATTAAAATTTATGTTCTGAACAAAAAAAGTTCATAACATCTTGACGTGCTGTTTATTTTTATTTTTTTTACAAAACTATAGGATGTTGAGAGTCAGACCTGTGATAGTGTTGACGTTGGTGATGTTTCTCTGACTATGTTGACACCAATGATTAATTCTCATTATTCTATTGCTGGAGAATTTAATTTTTCAGCTGTCCGAACTGCGAAAGAAATAAAGCTTGAAAAGGAGTTACGTATTTTCTGATTTATATTTGCGTTTGTATAAATTGGCATCAAATTTTTTTTTTATCTTACTATACTGTTTAAACCATTTCATTTGCTTGCGCAAAGTTGAGATGCTCATCACTGATTTTCTTTTCTTTTTTTAAATAGATTTGATGCAGAAGCATGTGAGATCACCTCGTAGATTTGGCAACTATGTCTTGAGGATGACTTTTTGTGTCTGGGAGACGAAATGATTACAGGATTTTTGTTGTTATTATGACTTTTATTTGCAATGTCTTTTGTTCCAGTGACAGCTAATATGGTATATTCATAGCCAGAGTTTTTTTGTAGTGGTCTACCCCATGAAAGCTGTTTTTTTGCAATGGATTCCTGATATGTTGATGTGTGGCACTCTCCTACTGTTTTTTAAACATTGATTCAAAACTTCTAGTGGAAAAAAACAGTACTCATCCAGCGGCTAAAAAATCAGTTATATCTTCCAGTATCAATAACGACGTTAATTAATACTTTAGCAAAATCATTTGTAGTGTTACATGTTGTGCAATAAATGTTAATAATCAAATGATTAATCCAATCTTTGATTATGTTTTGGTTCGTCTTTTAAAAGTTTAATTTTACAAGTTCGATTTTACTCAAACAAAGACTGAGTAAACAAAAATTATAATCTGACTCATTCAATAATTCAAAAAACATATCTTAAGAACTGATAGTATATCGTTTTGGAAATTTATATGTCAGCAAATCTTAACATATTATTTCTTTTTGTTTCTTTTCTTTTCTTTCTACATTGTCATTTTTTGAATTTGGAACGACGGTGTATTGGGGAACATCTATCATCAAAACACTGCATCTAATCTACTGTTTACTCAACGTAGGAATTAATCAAATCTCTAACTACTAAAAACATCCCAACCTACGATTTAAATCTAAAAAAGTTTAAATTTGATTCAATCTTTTGGTTCTTATGGATAGATATTTAAAGTTGGAAATTTTATTGACCTTGATTCAGTGTAATTCAAAAAATTACTTTTTTTCAAAAAAAAAAAACAAATCTTATATTCTAAAGGAATGTCATTCTTTGGCAAGTTTGCTGACGTGTCGCTTTCTCCTTCACTTTCAGCTTGATGTTCACACTACAAAATATTTAAAACCTTTCATTATTTGGTAAAAAAGAATAAAAAGAAAAATATTAAATAAAATCAAATTTGTAATTAAATTCAATTGAGAAAATATGTCAACAATTGTTGGTGGCAGACAACTCATTTAATGTCCTTCTACTTTTTGCATTGGAATTTCCAAATTAATAATATCTAACTGCTTTCTGAAATCTTGATTTTCAATTTTCAATTTTAAAATTGAATTTGAATTTGAATTTTAAAGGGTGGGAAAACATTTGAACAATTGTTGGTGGCAGACAACTCATTTACTATCTCATTACTTTTTTTGCAGATATTATTCCATTACTTTCTACATGGATAATTGTTAACCATATTAATGCTGCATAAAAAAATAATATTTTCTTAAAAGAAAAAAATTAACATAAATATATATATATATATATATTTTTTCTAAACAACATAAATATTTTTAATATATATATATATATATGAATCTAATCTAAAAATTATAAATTAAAAGATAAAAAAAATTCTTTTTTCGAATAATATGTAAAATTAATAAAAAAAATTACATCTATCATTCTGTATAAAATAAAATATAAAAATTTAATAACTATAAAAATGAATGACCATTCAGTGACCACTGACCATTCAACTCCGGCATCGTAAAAAGATGTTGGCCATTAAGTATGTTACGGACTATTGTAATGTTTCTCATTACTTTTTGCATAAAAAATTGTTAAGCTTATTAATATTATTATTTATTATATCTATTGGGGGAAAATATTTAATGTATATAATTCAAACTTTTTAAATTTGAATTTTAAACTTGATAGGTGGGAAAAGAGTATAAAACAAAAACTGAAATTATCAAAAATTGGAATTTGATTAAACAGAATATTCTAATTACGTTTTTTCTAATGACCGTGTTTCTAACACACACACACACACACACACACACACACACACACACACATATATACTAGTTGATTACCCGTGCAATGCATGCAGGAAAAAAATCGGTTTGTTTGTCCCGTAAACAAATTAATAAGAAAATCGGTTTGTTCGTATGACATAAACGTGTAACTTTTAAGGTAGGAACAAAAAAAAGAATATAATAATTTAAACACAGTAAATTCCATGGTTGACAACAAAATCTCCAATAAAAAAAATATAAATGTCATGTTGACAGCAATATAATAAGAAATATGCCCAACCGATACTCACAACAATTGTAAAATATCGTCTCCCATGCACTATTGGTATTTGCTGCTGTTCGAAATGAATCATAAACAATATATAAACAATATTTGGAAAAGAAAAAAATTATTGAAGGGAATTATATAGTTTAGGCAGATGAATAATTCAGAATTACAATGAAAAACCTTTGACTCTGAAAAATGACAAGGGAATAATATACTGATTGTGCCTCGAATACTGAATCTGCAAAACAATAAAAAATTAGCAGAAAAATAGGCATAACAACTAAAGGAAATTAACAAAGAAGATAGATTCTCTACAATATGACAAACAAAAGCAACTTATCAAAGTCTGCATACGAAGAAATATATTTATTTATAGTGACTGAAAAAAAAAAGCAGCTTATGTTCATAGTGAAAGGAGTAAAAAAGAAGCGCAACTTATGTTCATAGTAAGCATTGTAAAAAGAAATGAACAACAAAGAAACTTTTGTAACAGAAAATAAACATACGAACCATGAACAGGTCGAAGGATAGCGTTTCACACTTACCAGTAAAGGGAGACAACACATGACATCCTGAGGTCGAAGAATCACTCAGAATATTTTTAAACGGTCCGTCCTTCTTCTCTTATTTTGGGGAGTTTGGAAATCTGATTGATGTTTATTCATGACAGCGCCCAACTTGCTTGGAAGAACTTTTGATTAAGAGAAAAGAGAAGATAAATTAAGAACTTTTTAAACTCTCCTTTATATGTATATAGACGTGCTTCAACAGAAAAGCGAAGAGAAAAGAGAGATACTCCCAAATATACCAAAAAAATAGAAAAGAAAAGTCTGCGAGATCAAAAAAACTCAGTGTGCGGAAATGACAGTGTCGTATTCGAATTGCAGGGTGAAATTAAGATACATAGGACAAACGTCATTAAGATAGAAGTCATTTAAAATTTAAAGTTGATGGTCAGAACATGTGCGCTTTCACTTTATAATTTTGGGTAATAAAAATTTAAAATTTACAAAATTACTTATTCGTAAAATTATAAATTTTAATTACTTACTCGGTAATTTAATTAAATATATGTTTTGCTTTTTGAGGGAGTAGAAGTCATTTCATCAATGCGTCAGCAATTTCTGGTCATGAAAGATAAATGTCATTATCTGTTTCAACGTTTAAAAACAAAATAACTATATAATAAAAAAATGTAGGCGTTTCGAGCTTCAGATGCGTCCTGGTTCTTGCGCGTAAATATTAAAATTCGATTTTTAAAAGAAATTTTTTTCCGACCATCCATATTTAAATTTAAAATTTTAAACCATTTCAAATTTCAAATTTCAGATCAGACGACCAATTCCAACATAAAAAGCAATTAAAACATCTGATTATCCAATTAAAATTTCGAATTTCAAAACCATATTTATTTATTAATTATTCTTTTTTGTCTGCCACCACAAATGGTCATTTAATTATTCGATTTAAATTTTAAAATTCAATTTTTAAAAGAAATTCTTTTCCCACCATCCATATTTAAATTCAAAATTTCAAACCATTTCAAGTTTTGAATTTCAGATCAGACGACCAATTCAAACATAAAAAGCAATTAAAACACCTGATTATCCAATTAAAATTTCGAATTTCAAAACCATATTTAATAATTAATTATTGTTTTACGTGTTCCACCACAAATGGTCATTTAATTATTCGATTTACAAATTAAAATTAGATTTTTAAAAGAAATTCTTTTCCCACTATCCATATTTAAATTCAAAATTTTAAACCATTTCAAATTTTGAATTTCAGACGACTAATTCCAACATAAAAAGCAATTAAAATAGCTGATTTCTTTTTGAATACCAATGTGATGGGCAGTGGGACATTCAATGCCTTGTCTGCCACCACAAATGGTGATTAAATTATTCGATTTAAAAATTAAAATTCTTAGATAAAATATAAAAATCTAAATGCAACTATAAGAATATTTTTTGTGGATAAATATAAAAATCTATTACATATTGATAGTTAGAGGTGGCAAACTAGGTTCGGCCCGGAGGGCCGACCTACCAACTTATTTTTATAATTAAATTAATATTTCATACTTCTTCTTTTATAATTAAATTCCTATTTATCAAAAAAAAATAAAAAAATTCCTGAATCCGATTTTAATTTTTGTAAATTCAAATTTTAAAATTCAAAATACTAAAGACACAAATCCTTGCAAAAAATAATTATTTATTATTATTTTATAAATATGATTGTAATAAATGAATGTCCATCTCTGAGATAAAATATAAAAACTTAGATGCAACTACAAGAATTTTTTTATGTGGATAAATATAAAAATGTATTACATGTTGGTATATAATGCTGACAATTAGAGGTTGCAAACTGGACTCGGTCCGGAGGACCAACCCGCCAACATTCTTTTATAATTAAATTAAAATTTTACCTTTTTCTTTTATAATTAAATTTCTAATTCTGATTTTAATTTTTGTAAATACGAATTTGAAAAATTTCAAATACTAACGACACAAATCTTTGCAAAAAATATTTAAGTATTATTATTTTGTAAATTTGATCTTTCTAAATGAAAGTTCATCTCTGGAAAATACTGAAAGAAGATGAGTAAAACTTTGTAATTTTTGAATGACTACATGACAAGGTAAAATGTAGCAATATACTTTTATGTGTTGCGTTAAGAGTGAATC